CCCAGCAGGTAGAATGTCATTTGCACAAGTGGTAATTTTCATTTTATCCAGCAGGAGTGAAAGGTCATGTATGGTCAAGAAGATGTGGTCTCAGCTAGAGAATGGGATTTACATTTCTATCTTTTCTCTGCTCATCTTGCCATGTTGGCTTGAAGCAATGAGGCATTTGGGGGGCATTGTACTGAGTCACTGCTTCCCCAGTTGGACTTCATTGGGCATGGTCAGGAGAAAACCACAAGCTGGGTGTACTCGCTCAAATCATCTCAAAGATTGGTATTAGACATTTAGCATCAAAATAGATTACATAGTCAGAAAATTGTAAATTTTGTGTGATTTGATCACCCTTACCTTTAGAGTTGATGAATTTAAGATGACATAGCAGCAAGATGAGTCCTCACAGAGTCTCCATTCAACTTGTATCAAAGGTGCAGACTTCAAATGTAGTATAGGTGCAGTCTATCCCCCCCCCTATTTTGTATTAAAACAATAAGGTGCTACTGAATGTCACAGACATTCAGCTAGCCAGAAAGCCACCAAAGGTCAGTCATCCCTGTTGCGTATGCACCTTTTCCTACCACACCCTTTCTGCCAGTCAACTTTACAATAATATGCCTGGATACTGTAATTTACTCAATTTTCCTATTTCTACTACGTTGAGACTTTTTTTCTAATCTATCAGCCAAAAAGGTACATCGAAAATTAAAACACTAACATAGAAATGAAATATTAGGGGTTTTTTTGGTTTAATTTTAGAATTAAACCTAAAATCTTCCTTTACACATCATCATTTACTCTACACATTTGTTTTCAGGTAACTACATATTCTACTGCTGAAACAAAATAACATTATGGCAGCATCAGCATATGGAACTGGTAAGTGTGCAAAAAAAATGTACAAACTTCGCTTTATTAAATAAATGCATATGGCAATATGCTTTAAGTAAATGTAGGAATGTATGATACTCGAGTTTGGCATCTAAGAATTTTAGTAACGCATACGATTTTGAATATTTGTCAGATAGTGATGTAGTGGGAATATGAAAAGTGTAATTCAGTGAAAAACTGTTAAAATTTGCAATAACTCAAAGTCATAAAAAATATAAAAGAAAAGAAAACTGAATCAATGCAATATTTAATTATTTAATGTCTCTTGTGTCTTCAACAGCATCTGAATTCAGGATTGTGATATTTGGAAAAAGTCAATTTGAAAAGATAACTTTAAGCAACTTGATCACAGGGAAAAAGGATTCTCGTGATATAACAATATCCAAGAAATCTATTGCCCAAGGACAGTGGAGGAAAATACCCATAACCGTAGTGAAAACCTCCGACATCTTCAGTGTTCCTGTGGAAAAAGTCAGACACGAGATGAAGATGTGTGTGGCCCGTGTCCCCCCTGGGCCAAATGTTTTCCTCCTGTTAGTGAAGCCTTCAGATTTCACAGAGGAAAACAGACAAAGGCTGAAGTTCATCTTGAGTTTGTTTGGTCCACATGCGCTTAAATACTCAATGGTCATCATAACACAAAAGGATGAAGAAAAGAATACTGCAGTAGAACAAATTATTCAAGAGAGTGGACAAAGACTGCATAACTTAAACTCTGACAAAAAAGAGTGTCTTGACTTTGATCAGGAAACCATGATGGAAATGATGAATCAAATTGTGACTGAAAACAGGGGCGGACATCTAAATTTTTCTGACAACCCTGATCCAACTGAAGCCCTTGAAAGTCCAAAATCAAGGCTTCCACTTAATTCAGCACTGTGTGAGAGATCTGTTGTTGGGATGGAGGAACCTGAGCATCCAAAACCAAAATCTCTTGTGAATTTAGGACTAAGTAAGAGACCTCAAGTTGGTGTTGAACAACCTCAAAGGCCACATCTAAAACCTTTAAACTCAGTAGCATGTGGGAGCTTTGTTGTTGAAGAACCTGAGCATCCAAAACCAAAACTTCCTTTGAATTTAGGAATGAGTGGGAGACCTCGAGCTGGTATGGAAGAACCAGAATCTCCAAATATGAAACCTCTTTTGAATCTGAAACTGTGTGAGAAACCTCAAGTTGATATAGAAGAACCAGAGTCTCCAAATATGAAACCTCTTTCAAATTTGAAACTGTGTGAAAGACCTCAAGTTGTTGTGAAAGAGCCTCAAAGTTTAAATGTAAAACCTTCTTTAAACTTGGTACTGTGTGGGAGATTTGGAGTTGGAAAAACTTCAACTGCTAATGCCATCCTGGGAGAAAGAAAGTTGAATTCATTAGAGTATGTTAAACATCAGGCAGAAGTTTATGGTCGACTGATTTCAATGGTGGAGCTACCGGTTCTATTTGGAAAATCTCGGGAAGAAGCGATGAGGGAAGCCTTCAAGAGCGTTTCTCTCTGTGATCCTGAGGGTGTCCATGCTTTTATCCTGGTGCTACCTTTGGATCCCCTTACCGATGAAGACAAGGGCGAGTTGGAGACCATCAAAAATATACTAAGCTCTCAAGTCAAAGACTTTACAATAATTCTTTTTACTGTGGAGACCAATCCTACACACCCAGATGTTGTTAACTTTTTAAAAAGAAACAAAGAGATCGAAGAGCTCTGTCGGAGCTTTAGTGTCCGATATCTTGTCCTCAACGTCAACAACAGACAGCAGATCCCCCAGCTACTGGATGCTGTGGAAGAGATAAAAATGGTTTCCAAAAGTTTCAAAAAGGAAACCATTGCAAAATCTTGTATGCACAACAGTGCAGAATGTACATCACAACTGGAAGAGGCTCCTCACACATCACAGAGCCTGGATCAACTCAGGATTGTGATGATTGGGAAAACTGGAAGTGGAAAGAGTGCCACTGCAAACACTATTTTGGGCAAAAAGTGCTTTCATTCGAAGGCCAGTATGAAATCAGTGACCAGGCTCTGCCAAAAACAAACAGCGGAAATTGAAGGGCATCCTGTCGTCGTGGTTGACACGCCTGGTTTATTTGACACAGCTCTATCCAGTGATGAAGTTAAACAGGAACTTGTCAAATGCATCACATTGGTGGCTCCTGGACCTCATGTGTTCTTACTCGTCTTGCCGATTGGTCACTTTACAGAGGAAGAAAAACAAACTGTGGAGCTCATTAAAAACATTTTTGGCAAGAATTGCAATGACTTCATCATTGTGATATTTACCAGAGGAGATGATCTTAAAAACCAAACAATTGAAAGTTACCTCAACGAAAACAGTGAAGACTTTGTCAAAAAACTGTTAACTGATTGTGGAGGACAATACCATGTCTTAGATAACAATGATCAGAGCCGTTTTCAAGTAAGTGAGCTGCTGACCAAGATCGAGTCAAGAGTAAGGAAAAATGGCAGTGGCTATTACACCTCAGAGATGTTCAAAGAGGCAGAGGCAACAATTCAGAAGGAAATGGATAAGATTATGAAGAAGGAAGAAGAAATGCAGAGATATAAGAGGGACCTCCAAAGACAACATGAAGAGGAAATCAAAGAGATGAGGCAAAAAACTGAACAGGTAAGAGCTTCAACAGAAAAAGCATTAGAAGAAAAAAAGGAATTCATTAAGAGAGAGGAGGAGAAAAAAAGGGTGGATGAGGAAAGGGCCCAAAAGGAAAGGGAAAGGAAACAGAGGTATGAAATTCAGCAAAAGCAATGGGAAGAAAAAGAGAAGGAAATTAAGTCTGGATCATTAAAAAAGACAATTAAGGGTCAAATATGGGTACAGAGTTCAAAAGAAAATGAAAAAGCAAGAGAGGCTTGGAGGAAAGTACAACAACAGTGGCAGGAAACACATCTTAGAGGATGCCAACAGAGATCGGAGGAGCAAACACAATCTAAAAAACTCTGTGAAGAATATGAGCAGGAAAAAACAGAACATGACCTCCGAAAAAAAGAAGATCAACTTCGAGAAGAACAAGAGAAAAAAGAATGGAGAGAACTGCAACAAAACCTACAAAAGCAAGTCGAGGAAATGAGGGGAAAAAATCAAGAGGAAGCCAGAAAGCAAGCAGAGGAGTTCAATGAATTTAGACAGAGATACACCACTGACTTAAAAGCTGCAGTAGCAGAGTGTGAAAGGGAAATTGAGAATATGAAGCTAAACCAACAGGAATACAGTAGCTACATGATTCAACAACTGTGCCAGAACAAGGCGTATAAGAATGACTTTGACCAACTAAAGAAGAGACAAGAAAAAGAAATGAATGAGCTCAAGCCATTTATTCAAGACCAAAAACAAATGTACGAGCTACAGAAAACACACGAGGAAGAAAGAAACAAGTGGATCCGGGAACATGTGCGTAAATCCAAAGAAGAAGAAAGTTGTAGTATTTTATGAAATGTTTTCATATATTTACTTTGGTGTTGCCCCATGACTTATCAATGTAATACCAATATTTTTGCCAATTAAGATACCAAACATTGGGAGCTGTTTTTGTGAGATTAAAACCATTTATTCTTTACATGTAGTTTTTATGTCCAACCACTGAAGTTCTAGTTTGTTCCTCGTTCACTTGGACATGGGGTTTTAAAATGACTGTCCAAAATAAATGCCTGATGCCATTACCAACATGGCTACCAAGTGATAAGACTTGACTATAGTAGGACCTTCTCACTACAAAATTTTAAGTAATAGGTCTCTTGATGCATACTCAATCATCCGGGTAAGGAGATGCCAGGAAGTTCAATCTGTTTATCTGGACATAGCATGTTTCATGGGAGAATTTTTTAGACAGTTTTTGAACAGAGTAGGTGTCTAAGGGTACATCTATGTGCATAGCTCTTCTATCTATGCACATTCTATCTATCTTCCTCTACAAACCCCCAAGGTACAATGTGCACACTAACACGATTGCCATATCATGACAGCACATTTTACAACTCTAATAAAATGTGGCACATGAAGCAGTATGTGGCTTACTGCCTTACCTGGATACAATTTTATGCCACTGCAACTGCACTGCAAACCCTTCTGATTTCAGATGAATAAACTAGTCTTCATTCTTAGTAAGATACTTTTAAAAACTGTGTTGCAGTGGCATACAGTTACTTTACAGAAAAGCTGGAAAAGTCAAAGACCAAACAAACTAACTCAATCACTCAAACCACATCACAAATAAATGAGTCTAAAACATGCCATTTGTGGTGCCATTATTTCAAGTTTCTCTCCGGTATAATGCTACTCTTGGCCTAGTTGAAGAAATGTTATCATTATTTTTTTTTTGTAACTAAAGAAAAAAGAATTAATGCTCTAGTAATCTCTGTGATTTTTCTAGCTAACAGCGACTGGTGGTTGAGAAGATATTTTTATTTCTTCCTTTAGTAAAAGTACTGATATCTCAATCTGAAAAGACTCCATTATAGATTATTATAATTCCTGCTTTTAAAACTTGACAACTGTGTGAACATTAACAGCATATTTTACAGAATATATGAAAAATACAACTACTTATTGTATAAGAAAACCTCTATCTATCATTATCGAGGTAGTTGCATATAAGGCAATGAGTATGCTCTATAAAATGTATAACGTGCCTGTCCTGTGAGGCTAGAGCATTTCATGAGCTAAAAAACTAGCCCTCCAACATAATTAAGAAATCTGTTTTAAAAAAAGGAAAGGAAAACTCAAAGTGGTGTGTTTAGCAAAGCTTGTTTACTTCAACACATAAGGTCAACAAAGTGTTTCTTGAAGTGTTTTTTTTTAAAGGTTGGTGGAAGCTGCATATGTTGAACTTGCTTGTTTTATCAAACCTAGCATGAAATTAGCTTATTGTTCCTTCACCATATGTGAACATTTCCTTGCTAGCATGCTAAAGAAGTTGCTATTTCACATTACTCCACTGCACATGTGAAAGCGTTGCGCAAATTATTTCCAAGAGATTACTTACCTTGTGAGATGATAAATTGGAGTGTAATTTACTTTATGCATTGTTAATGCTACTTCTTACATGTTTAGTTTGCATACACTGCTAGAGCCCACTGCCAGGCAATTAAACAATCGGGCGTGTTCATAGCCAAATCAAATTTTACATGGAACCAGTCAGGACAACTTGGCTTTGTTTTAAGTGACTCAATGCAAACAAACCACTGTAGAAGTAACATTGTGAATTGTTTGTGTGCAAGTATACAGTGTGGATAATAAACACATAAAATGTGAGAAAAGAAGACCTTCTCCTACCTGTACTGTACAACCATCATGTTCTGCTCCCCACAGTGTCTCGCACAGCGAATATACCTCATCCAGCTGGATTTACTGGGATCATTACCATCGATAAAGTGCTGTAACGTTCCCTCTGAATCGTAGATCTGGAAAACACAAATGATCAGAGTTGAAAACAGAGGGCTTGTTGTGATTAATTCAGGATAGTATTGATATAGCTGAAAAAGGCAACCTTCAGATTTAGATATCTATTGAATTATTTTACTTTGAGCGACTGACAAGTCAAAGATGTTTGCTCATTTTCTGACTGACAATGAAACAAACCTCACTTAAGAATGGCCGGAAAATGGCAAAGAAATACAATGTTTGTAACATATTATAATGTCATAGCTCAGTGGTCTGTATCTGTATCTTTACCATTAAAATCTATTTGTATCTATTGTTATCTATAGTTTTAAATCAAAAGAAAAGTATAATAAATTTTAGTCAACAGACAACACACTAGTGAAATTGGGATGTTTATATTGAGTGAGTGTTGTACCTTTACAAGGTATTGTGGTTATTTGGTAATTTTTTCTGAGGTTCTGTTCAACATTTCCACCAACAAATAACTAGTTTAGTTCATTTAAAACACTATAGTTTAGCTGAGACTATCAATATTTTTAACTAACAACTGAAATTACTGAATTCACTCTGGAAACCAATGCAAACTTAGACTGTACTGGATGTAAACTTAAAGGCAAAAGTTAAAAATTACTTAAAAAATACAAAACTAAAATTCAGACAGGAAGACCATGTTTCTGTTGCTCTGCCAAGCTCCAAAAGAATTGCAAAGTAGCCAATATAAAAGATTGATGATGTAAAACAATCTGCAGCCACAAGGTGAATAAAAAGTCTTGCAAAAGAGACTAAGAAAAGTCAGAATCTACACAAATCTCTGCTCTGATTTGCCATGAAGTCTCAAAGATTTAAAATGGACTTTTTTAGGAGATTTCCTCCAACGTTTAGGATTGCATTTGTCATGATGCTGGAAGTTGCAGATTAATTTGTGAAGCTAAAAATATATAGTTTAGGTTAAATGAGTACTTGTAAAACTACAAGAGGTGTAAGGATATTTATGGTAAATCAAAGCCAAACATTTTAGTTTTTAGAGTTTTAAAGTGATATGTACCAGTTTAACGGTCAGCCTCTTTTCATAAGAATGAACCCTTGCAACTGAAAACGATAACGAGTTGTGCACTTGCAGCTCAGACAAATAACTTAATTTGATTTGAAATATTTTAAACAAGCTTTTGCAACTACTCATTAGGCTCTTATCCACAGTCAGCTGGAGCTGTGATGATTACAGCCTGCTGGGCGTTAAACGTTACACAGACCTGATCTACACCTGCTTAAAAGCCTTACAGCTCTGTCTGCCAGCTTTAACATCGAGGCCTAAAAATACTTTTTCACAGCAACAGTGGAAGGCTGCACATCTAATAAGAAAAATGGAGCTGAAACGTAAACCAAACAAGGGTCCATTAAGAGGAAGAAGCAGCTTGCTTTTTTTCCTGTTGCTCATGGCTCAAAGATGAGATCTCTCAGTCTGTTCCCCTAAAGAAAACCACAAGTCCTACTTTTAAACGGAAAACGTTAAAATGAAATGTTTGAACTGGTGGGAAATTTGCTGATCACATTCCCCAGAGATTTAATGTTTCTTGTATTTATAATGACCCAGTGACCTCTAGTGCCACCCTGAGGCTCAGTGATTTCATTCCCTATTCAAGCTTTCAGTTCCTTCAACAACAGATCTTTTTGTAGCATGGAGAGTCTGAAGTTATCATTTTACATTGATTTGAGAATGTGTAACTTAAAGGATCACTAGTATTACTGGACCGATGTAAATGGTATATGAGAAGATGACATCTAGATATCTGCTGCAAAGGCAACAGGGATGAGACAATTAAAAATGAGTACATAAATCAACAGAAATCTGAAGAGTGCACAGCTAATAGTGATCATAAGCACTTAAAAGGAGTCGATCTCCCTTAGCCTCCGTCTGTGTGTGTGTTCATTATTAATCCATCCCTCCGTCCATCCGTGGTAAAGATGCAGTGTGACTGTATTGAGGCGGCGTTGAGTGTGTTTATAAGGTGATGACCTGAGCCAATAGCCTGCCTCTCTGCTGTCCATACAGCCAACAAACAATCAATGCAGTAAATGACTGTGAGAATCAGAGGAAACAGCTTCATTTATTATTCTCTGTATGTAAGCACTTTACTGTCTGTCGCTGTTGGACTGCCTGCACACTCTCCTGCCTTTATGCGAATCTTTGTCCATTTCACATAAACTACTTTATATGATTAAGTGTACATTTTTTTCTAGGTTGTTTATCTTGTGGCCTGAAACTCTTTCCACGTTTTCTCTGTTTTACATAATTAAGACACAAAAACTTCCAAATTAGCTTTTTTGTGCTATGTACAAAGATGTTGAGTTTTCTATGATAAATACTATTTAATTTATGCAGTAAACCTTCACATGAGAAGCTGGTGAAAAAAAAAACAATCTATGATTAACGCAGTTAAGTAAACAGACTGCATATAAAGACTGTGAGAGGCATGATGGCTTTGCCCATTTGTTTAGGGGCATTTTAAAGCCTCAGTGTTGGCCATTCTCATATTTTTTGGGTGGGAGGGGGTGGGTGCGTTCAGGGGGTGGAGGAGGTTACTATAATTAAACAGAAATGGTTAGTTACCAACTTTGCTGAGCTCGGTTAGCACGCTGCATTCATAAACTATATGAGTGCAATGCAGAGACATAGACACCTGCTATTTACTGCCAAGTCGCATCCAAAAAATCATTTTTAGTACATGCTCTATAATGTGAAAATGTTTATTTCTGCTGTAAATCTGGATATTTTTAATATGGGAATCTATAAGAATGAACTCACCTTGGAGTCAGCCTCAAGTGGACATTAGAGGAACTGCAGTTTCTGGCACATTTGTTTTTCTTTTTTTTCCCCTTTTAATTTTTTTTTTTCAATTCCCCTTTTAATTTTTTTTTTTTCAATTCCAGGAGGTAGCCACTCAGTAAAGTTTGTTTTGTTTTGTTTTAAATAAATGAGGGCTCATAATTATTGTCTACAGCAACATTTCTCCTGGGGATGACTGATGAGGTAAAATGGTAAATGGTAAATGGTGTTTGACTGTGTTTGTATAAATGTATAGCGCTTTACTCAGTCCCTAAGGACCCCAAAGCGC